TCTCTGATAAGGCGTACAGTATCTGCAAGGCGGGGCCAATTTTCCTGTCCGCACATGCGTACCACCTACTCCTCCCCCCCCCCCTCCTCAACCCCATCCTCTTCCTCCGCTTTTCTCTCCTTGTATTCATCGACATAGGCGTCATAATCATCTTTATTACTATTATTATTATTATTATAAGTTTTACCACCAACACAACTGTTGACTACCCTGCATGAGGTTGGGTGTTTGGATCACGTCGGGGTCACCAAGGAGTTCTTGGTGCGGTTGACCTCGGGTGCTGTGAGAGCTCCCCTTAAATCAGAAGGCATGAAGGCCAATTTCAACTGCCTGTCCCGTTAGCGCACAAAACCGAACTTTAGCTGACGTTGCGGAATCCTTACCTAGCACTGCAGAGAGGCGCAGGACAACTGTAACTCGGAGTAAATGAGTAGAGAGAAGTATCAAGACGAGGGTTGCGCACATGCAATTATCTACTCGTGGGAGAGGAGAACATCAGTGGACTTGTGGCAGCGACGAATCTCGGCAGAGTTACTCGCAGTTACACACGCCTGCCACACCAGATGGTCATGCCTGAAGTTTTGCAACAAATTTACATGCTAGAAGTTCGGCTCACTCGAAAAGAAAGACCTGAGGGGAAAAAGGGCATTTTTTCTGACGTGCGATGCTCTAGTATAAAAACATGGAAGAATTGGTTCGCAATTGGACGCGTGAATTAAACTGCAGCAAGCAAATAGCGATCACGTGAAAGACTATTTAGGTAAATCTGACATAATTATACGCTCCTATTGCAATGTCCCCACAGTTCCTTTACCACCGCAATTTTCACGGTTCTTCACAACATCTACAACTGGACCTTGCCGGCGTACGTTGTGGTCCCAAAAGATGGAATTATAATAACCTTTTATGGAGTAATCTCACTTTGGATGGTGTTCAGGAGCCCGTCTATACTAAGTTCATCAAACTAACCAAAGAACAGCCCGAATTTTATATAATCGGCCTCTCAACACGAAGGCTCAACAACGGATCATTATAAGTCCAGCCGGAATGGTCTATTTCTTGCCACAGATGCAAGAAAACACCATGCTCGAGTGTGCAGGGTAGGCTCGTAATCTGTGGACCAGCAGTACTTTAACTATTCACGTCCATGAGACCACCATTAGATCCGGAGGTGTCGAATCAACTGTGGGAATGAGTAAACACGTCCGTTTTATGCAGATGTCAAGGACAGGCATTCCACTATGTATACTTATACCCAATAGGTGAATTGAGAGTAAGGGGTAGGTAGGCGTTAGGAGTACCATTTTTAGTCAAACGTGAAAAAATAAAAAAATAAAAAAGAAAAGATATATGACGTTTTTGAAAGTCAAAAAAGCCACATTTACTTAGACCCATGAACTTCTTTGGGAGACAGAAGTGTAAAGAAATTCCATACACAAATTCACGTCTATAGTAACGGCATCTTTCGTCCAAATCGATTGCCAAGTTCAGCGATGAGAACCAGTTTGGAGACAAAAGCCGTGGTTGAAATACAACCATCCCACACTCTGAAATAGGAGTTTACATAGTTTCTGCTTCAGTTCGTTGAGCAAACGTCTGCATTTCCTTAGCGAACTGGGAAATGACACTTTTGACAGTGTTTTCGTCATATTTATTTCCATGGTCTACTATGGCTACTCCGATATACGGGAACTTCACCGGAGAAGAGTCAATTCGACTTGTGTTTATTTTTTCCAAGTAATGACCCTGATTACTGAGATCTATAGCCTTAGCAGTTTTCTGCCGAAGAAGCATTGTCCATTGGTGAGCAAGGGTCCTTTCGTTAGAATGACTGCGGTTTAACTGCCTCTTGGCCGAAAAATAATTAAACAGCCTTCATTATCATCCAACGCAATTATCCCTTACCCAGCTCTCTCAAACAAGTATTCTATCGAAAAAAATTAACCTGACCTCCTGGTTATCGGCGGAATTCCTTTCTCCCTCTGAATTCGAGGACGCTGAACCGGGTTTACTGCTCGCGGCTGTCTCCGCCCTGAATAAATCTGTCATAGAAAAAAGCATTCAGTCTAGTCAGTTTTTTCTGCGCAGTTTTTAGCAACCTGACATGTTTGTTATGCACAGAACTCACAGATGACAGAATCTTCACACAGGGCGATGAGAATGAACTCAGATTCAAGGTACATTAACTTCGTAAAACTTCTCGGTCGGGTCTGAAAATAATTTAACGAACGAATACATGTTAGTGCGTCTAGAGGGTTGAGTTATTGACTAAATTAGGGGCTACTATAGCTCGTAATTTAAGTAAGTTGCGGCTATTTTTGCTGTAAACTATGGAGTCAGTCCAGCCCACATGTAGGGCACTTAAACGGACTCTACTTCGTAAGTACTGTTTTTTCTTTCCTTGAATAACGACCGTGTTTGAGCGTGAGCCGAACTCGATTGAGGAAGGGTCCATTGCCAAAATAGAAGAATCCACATATTAGGGCGGAACAGATTCTTCATTTTATTCCAACGCAGGGGGTTTTCCCTCATAAGGGTTCTAAGAAAAAGTCACACTCGTTGACTAGTTAACTAACTGAGAAGAATTAATGAACGTTATAATGAAATCCGCCCCAGACTCAGAATTTACAGAAGAACCCTTGGGAATAGAATAGACCTGTAAGTATTGCGGAGGAAGAAACGATTATTATCAGTGGCTTGGGTACTAAAAACCTAGCAAGTAGGAGAAGAAGGAAGATTCAGGAACTGAGCCAACCAACCGCGTTACGGGATATGCTGGTTCCCGTTGTGCCTTGAGACTCAATCTAAAGCCCATGGCGGCAGTCGCATAGCAACCATGAATATATGTTGGAAGAAGTTCCGACAAAGACAAGGGAGATTTGAATGGCCATGGCTAGCACATTAACGATTCTCGATCTCAGACGATAAGAAAACGGAACCGTAGCTCATTGGTTGAGCGTGCGGCTCAGTGACCAAAGATCTGGGGTTCGAACCCCAAGTTTCCCAAGCCTGGGTTTGGGCATGGCTGGCCGGCGGTGGTTAATAAATCAGAAATGGCTATTTCAGCCTCCCCTTTCCTAGCTGGAACTCATTCAAACAGAGGAAATATCGATTTCTAAAATGTTCGCGGACAATCATCGAGGATCCCTAGCGCTTCTCCCGAGACGGTTCGAGCTGTGCAGGAGTAGCGCTAGACGGTTGTGCGGGTTTTTCGTTTCTACAGTCTTGAAGGGGCAATTGCCATTTACTAGGGGGAAAATTGGCCGGGATAAGATTTAACTGTTTGCAAGGAAGAATAGGCGACACAAGGAGGTTGTCTTGGGGGTCATTAATCGGACAAACAGCACAGGAACTGTGATTGGTGGCAGGCAGTCTCGCAGCCATCCACAGCGCTTGGCCCCAGCGCATACAGCAAACGGTTACTTTCCAGAAAAAGGGATTAGACGCGTACTCCCGCTCCAGACTTTCAAGTTAAGTACGCGAAATAAATCAGAAGATGTGCGTTGACTTACCAAAAATCTTTAAATAATATGAAAGCGTCCCAAATACATTGACAAAAACTTCCAATTAACAGTGAGCCGCCTTCAATCAAGTGATAAATCAAAAAAGTAGCGAAGTAGCATTGCGGTACTTAGAAGTAAGAATGGTAGGGGCGCTCACCGATCATTCTTACGGAACTTTCTCTTTCCGTTGTGCCTTACGGGCTCTCTCTCGAGCCCAACCATCAGCCGCACAGCGGTGCATGATATAGGCAGTATATTATTACCGACAAAAACAAGGGAAACTGGAATGGCTATTTCTGGCTTATTGGCCGTCGTCAGCCAGTCCTACCCAACTCCGACGTGTGGAACACCCGGGGCTCGAACTCGCGACCTGTTAGTTATAAGTCCAGGCCTCTTTGTCGGCAATATCATTCTGCCTATATCATGTGCCAATGTGCGGCTGCTTGTTGGGTTTGAGAGAGAGCTCGTAAGACACAACAGAACGAGTGGGTTCAGTAAGAACGATCGGCGTTTACCCTTGTATATTATATATTTCCGATCGAAACCGACAGGGCAACGGGCTTGTGACCCAGTGGTTAGCGGCGTGGACTTATATCTTATCGGATTTTTCAGTTTAAAATGCATATTAAAGGCTGTTTATGAAGCATTTCATTCTTATTGTGAATTCGGAAACCTTCATGAACCTCAGCGGATAATCTATAAGGACGGCTGGCATGGCTCATTTGCAGTAGCCACGGTTTCGGTTGGGCTAGAAAATATTGATCTCCCGTGTAACCTGAAGTCCAGGGGGTAAGGAAGGCCGAGATTGTGGCTAGGGTCATTAGGATTAATGTTAGGGTTAAAGTTAGGAAACAAGAATTGGTACTCCCTTGGGATCCTCCGCAAGGCCACTTGTGGCACGGGAGGTCCATATTTCCGCGCCAGTCCCCCCCCCCCTTCTTTTTAACCACCGCTAACCGTGACAGAAGAGCTTCTCCCATGAGAGGGGTTTAAAGTGACTTTGGCGTCTATCTAATCCGACAATTGAGATTAGCTGCGGCGAAAATTTGGGTGTACACAGCTGTGCGCAATTAGCCCATGCACTATGGAAATATTGCTCCATTCTCGACTTTGATCTGAACCAACACTGTCACAGGGGGTGGGGAGAGCAGTGATTATATTGTGCGATGGCTGGTTTTTACTGAAGGCGACTTTCTGGCACACTCTTTTTCCGCCCCGATCAGGTTTCAGTGGCAAGGATAGGGTGACGCAACCGGAGGTATTCAGCACCGTTCATTGACTTGCTTCCGAATAAATCTTCTGTAGGAAGCAAACTTCCCGTTGTTCTCTTTGCTTGTGGAGTGAAAGGGTAGTTACCTGATAACCAGTCTTTCGTCGCATAATTATGTTTGTTTCGACCTTCTCAATCAAACTTACATACTACACATAGAGGCCTAGGCTGTGGCAAAAAGGATACGAAGTTGCCAAGTAGGAGATAAGAAGTTCACAAAACCTGAACTAGCCATTTACACCATTTACTGCAAGCTGATCGGTGAAACAGGCAAGCCACTCAGTGTAGAGAACGGAGGTGTCAGAGGGCAGTCGAAGAAGTTGACTTGGCAGGGGCGCAATCAGGTTCTTCCGAATATGGGCATCATCCAGACCCTGTTCCAGCATCGTACGCAGTCGAGTGGTCAGGCGCCCTGCCTGCCGTCGCAGCGTAAAGGCGAGGGTTCTTTGCAAAACCTCGTCCATGCCCTTCCCGACAAACCGCTGCTCTTTCCTACACAAACGGGTGAAGGTGGCACGACAATATCAGAAAGATCGGAGGTTGTAACGGACGCAGTAACTGACAAAACTAGACAAGCAGTCTACGCGTGTCACAAACGTGACCCGGTCTGCACTACGGATTGCTGCGTGGGCGTCTGGGCTCTCACGCGGGTTAGAATACCACTAGGAAGTACAGTGCGTGACCGATCTCATGAAATGTTGGTCAAAATTTCGGAATGCGTTTCCGATTGGGAAGGATTACTTATGTGGGGTTGTTATACTGATTATCATGCGGCATAATCCTATAATATTTTGGACTCGCCAGAATGTCGGTTTTTAAATGCACTTATTTTTGACCTTCTACAATAACCACACTCAGTAAAAAAATGACTACTTTATTAACATGCACTTTTCCTATTGATTTTCGATGGTCTTGTAAATTCAAATATATTTTAAAGAAAACATGCACGAAAATATGCTCTCTTTTACTCCTTTGGTAGAAAAGCACATTGTCTTGGCAGATTATATCTGAAGAAAGTGTATATGTGGGTTTTAAAAAAGTTTCTAATTATGAGATTTTTAAGACCGTGCGATGTCCATGCATACAGGACCGAACATGTCCGTTTACTAATGCTCCTAATGAAATGCACAACACAGTCCTGATCCATTGCGAAATTTTAGGAACTCCATGTGGTAAATTCTTAAAGGCACAGAGGAATATATGATTTTCCCTACGCGGAAAGCATGCACCTTGTAGACTGAAGTCGCCAAACGCCAATGCATTAGCACATAAGCCTGACACTCAGTCCTCAGAGACACTGAGTTTTCCCGTCAGTTTACAGCCCCCCAAGCCGTGAATGGCAGCGCACTGTTGTGGATCCAAACATTTCCGATGAATTATAATGAGGCATTAGCTGATATGCCGCACTGTCGACCTCTTTAACTTTTCCCTCCTCCGTGCACCACTTGTCCGTCCGAATCTGCCCATGAACGAGGGGTGTGATTAGATGCAGTAACTGAAGCGATGTGAGGCTTGCGTCTTCTAAGGCATGCAGCGCGCATATGTGGCAGTAGTAGTTACGGGCTCATGCAGACACAGCGCAGTCCAGCAAACGCGCACCGTGAGCCAGAATGGTACCGCTGTTGGTCCAGCACATTTGCAAGACAGCCGTTCTGGAGGCATTGTTGCAGGCCTCCTTTGGGGCAGAATTGCTGTCGCCAATAATTTGGATTTGCCAATAACCACTCGCGTTCATCTGTTAACCCAAAGTCATATCCGCATCTCTGTCGGTACCTTCTACCCGGTAGACGAAAACAATTATTTCAATCCTGTCACCCTGATTTCTTGCGTCGGAGATTCATATCCCCGTGAACCAAATCCGAGGCAGTTCTACTACCAAATTACAATTACACGATTAACCGTCGGGACTTTCGGCCCGCGCCTGAAAAGGTCTGTTCCGAAGAACTTACTCCAAGTCCACGCATTAATTTCTACGGAAATTAAAAAAGGACAGGGTAAAAACTGGAGTTCGTATGCCAGAAAACACACGGGGAAGGCTGGGGGACCCATTGATGAACCAAATCCCTTGTAGCTGCATCAGGCAGCGGCACAAGATCGGCGAAACACGCGTGTCTGGGTTTTTGACTAGTACCTGCGTTGTCAGTATGGTAAATAATTACCCAATTTTCAGGAGTATAATCTGCCCTGTGCTCACGATAGCTACACCCTTCAAATTCGGGCTGCGTCGGCTAAGCTGAACATCCCAAATTGCCTCATCCAGTAAGATATTTCTGCGTGGAAACACAGATTCAATGGGTGGATGTCATCCACTAACACATGTGTCCTGCTACAGCACATTTATTAATTTCCCACGTTCCTCCCCGGATGAGTCCTGTTTTTCTAGGAGTAACTTTTACTAACATGTTTCAGTTTGATCTATGTACATTTGGAAGATGCGGCATGTTAAAAATGTTGGGCTACTAAATAATGAAGCTGAATCTTCCTTGCCGGCAGTTCCAAATCAGTTCATACTCTTGAAAGAAAGATAATCGCTTATTCCGAGAAAGTAAAGGAGAATGACAAAAAAACAGAATGAAGTTAATCGGAGTAGGGCTTGAATAAGTTTCACAAAATGGAAAAATACTACGATGCTATCGGAAGCCAAAATCTTATCTGGTTATCTAGAGGAGGCGATATTTCTCGTTAGACGTCGCTAAAAATCCGAAATATGACCTAGGCTAGAAATTGTTGCCTGAATGGAATTCGAGTATGACGACGACGACGTAAGCAGCCACAAAATTTAAAAAACTGAGTTTTATGCATGCTATTTTTTAAATATGTTCGAACATAAAAGGGCATCGAAATGTAATAAAAAAATTTAAACTTTCGCGGGCGACAGGAAAGACGTGCATTCGAAAGCTGGCACTCAGAGGCGACCCAAATAGTTCGGGACTATAGGTCACTTTACGTCAGTTTATTAATGAGACATTTCATCTTTGTGTCATTTGCTATGGACACATTAGAAGCCTGAAGATAGGATCATAAGAGGGCTTACTTGAAGGTCAGTCGACTTTGGCCGCACCGCCGCCAAATGTGCAGACGTCCCTGCAAATCACCGAGAAATAGGGTGATTGGAAAGTCCTTCGTAGTTGCTAAAATAAAAAAGCTCAAGGTTCCAAATGCCTCCTCTGTGATAGCATTTTTTTCCTCTGAAAGTAAAAACATCGGAACTGACTCGAGGCGAGAGACGTAAACGGACACTCGACCAGATGCGTTGCCGTAGGAGTTGCCTTTGATTCCTGCATGGCTATTAGTTGCCTGTGGCATGTAGCACCTGAAATTTACGTAAATTGGCATTAGCATTTGTCCTCAGTCCTTTCAGCGGAATTTTGTGTCTGCAAAGACTGTGATAAGCTGGGTGAAAGTGCCGTTCGGGAAGCCAGACCAGTCGCTTTCTACCTAAAACTCACTTAAATGAGTAATACTCATAGAGCACCACCGACCGGCACGGTCTTTTATGACCTTCTGTCCGCTATCGGACGGCCGACACCCATGGTTGGGCACATGGTTCAAAATTTAATGACCAGCTGATTTCAGCTTCAAACCGTGACCTGCTTGGTCTCGTGTTGTGACATGGCTGTTTTATGGAGAGTGGTACGTCAATGGCCAAATCCTCTCGTCGTGAGGTTTTGCTCGTGCAACATCAGCTTGGGTCCCGTATGGATATCAATATGCCCCTGAACACTTGCCCCGGCGTAGACAAATGTCCCCCCCCCTCCCCAGGTTCGATCAATTTACCATGGACGCACGATTGTGATCAGGGGAGGGGGCAAAATGTTTTGCTTAAGACCTTACAACTTCGTTCTCTTAAGAGTTCGGCACGTGAGCCAATCACTGCGCACCCCACGGGGTAAGCACGGCGCTGCTGACTTGAGTGTGAATTATTTTATATTGATAGGTGACTTTCACAGCATCTACCACATTTTTCTCCCCCTCCCCTCACCCCCCTTGCCCCGATGGCATACGGTGTTAAGACAACCGAGGGTGGACTCGAGCGCGCTGGTCAAGAAGCGGTAGTTAAGTAGGGTAGTTGACTCATCGACAGTGTTTGGAGAGCGCGTACTTTGTCCTTTCCCATACACGCTACTGTTTTTATCCTGTCTCTTTCATTGTTGGCAGTGAAGAATTCCCCTCCCCCCAAAAAACGTAGTGAACGACAGCTTATTGGTGAACAAGGGAAGATGATAAAACAGCGCGGAGGGGACTTTAGTCAGTGAAGTGGAAAAAGAAGGAAACCAGTCATTCTGGTCCAGTTATTTCAAACATTTGCGGACTCCGCCGCACTAGACACAGCGGATCGCAAAATATAGGCAAGTTGGTTATTAAAGCTACAACTTCGTTGGTTTCATAAAGTTCTTACTTCAGATAGTGTATAAAGATCGCGATTCGGTTAGGATGCAATACAAACACCCCCTCCCCCTAAATCAACCCTCAGACTGTCCCGAGATCCCTAAATCTGTAACCCCCAACATAACTCCGTCTTTTTTAATGCTGCGAAAATGGTACCGGCGGAATGTGCCCCAGCATTAGCGAAAAAAATGTATAAACCGTGCATTTTCTACAAAACTAGGAATGGTTCAAGCATGGAACCTTGCCCGTAGGACGATACGTTATTATTTTTATTATTAAATTTGTATCATCGCACCAGTAGAAGTAGATTCCACTTGTGTTGCCGCGCAAAGATACCAATGTATCAGCCAAACCACTGAGATTTAGCAAGTGAAGAAGATTAACATGGTTTCCAAGGCCGACAAACAAATCCGTGAGCCTACCAAAAAAGTAAGTAAAAACCATTTAAGAATCGATTTTAGGGTGATTGTTATCTTTTGGTCTCGCTTGCCGTTCGAGCACACATCACTGTTCTGTCTGAGAGGGTCTCTTACCTCTTGATGAAAAATCCAAATGAATCAGCCGATGCAATAAAACAACGGTCCAAGTGTCGCCCAATATGTATGTGTTGTCTTGCTGAAGCATTGCGTCAGCAGCGTTCACAGAAATTCAGACGCGTTATGGCAGATTTCAAATAATCCACTTTGACCCAACTGTGATTAAACTCGCGTCGTCCGACGGGGCCTCGTAGCTCAGATAGTTAGAGCGTTGGCTGTACTAAAGCCTTCCCCTCACTGTCGTGGGTTCGAACCCCACCGAGGTGCTGGGTTTTTCACAGTTGGGTCAAAGTGAGTTGACAGAAATCTCGTATGCATGACATGAATGAAACAAAGAATCAAGAGGCAAAATAGTTTTCTACAAGATGGTTACAAATGATAAGTCAGAGCCTGCCACCTCAACGGATATTCCTTTAACGACGCCTGAAAGCTGGAGGCGGTAAAGTGCTTCCACGAATAGCATAACAAAGGTTCGTAAATATTTACAACCTCTGTCGGGGACTGGACAATCGGAAAGGTCAAAATTCTTAAAATGAAGCCCTTTCAGCTGGACTTCAAAGGTGCGCCACAGGCCTTTGAAAGTCGACATATGTTCGTCACTTTCAGCATACAGGGCCGATTTGCTTTTGGCAATAATACCGTCGACGAAGACATGCTGTTCTGGGCGCCGTGGCTCAGTAGTTAGGGCGTTGGACCTCTAGCCAACAGGTAGCGGGTTCGAGCCTCAGAAGATGGACATCTCAGACTCGGGTATGGCCGGCTGACGACGGCTAGTTATTCAGAAATGGCCGTTGCAGTCTCCTTTGTATTTTTTGGTCATGTTATCCTACGTATATTCAGTAGGTGGGCTAACTCACGAAATGTCAACCGAAATTCCGAAATGCGTTTTCGTTTCGGAAATTTCAATTAAGCAGGATTGTAAAACTAGTCAGTCTGCAACATAATTCTATAGTATATCAGTTATGTCAGGATGCCGGCTTTCGAATGAACTTCCTTCCGGCTGCATGCAAAAACTACACTCTGCAAAAATGACTACTTATGTAGCATGAATTTTTGTCAATGATTTTCGATGCCCCTAAATGTCCATATATAGAGCATGGAAAACATGCATAAAAATATTCATTCTTCTGCTCATTCGATAGAAAATTACGTCTTCTTTTAATTTTATACTCGAAGGAGGGACTTAGTTCAGCTTTAAAAAGTTTTCCGATTCCCGAATAATTTTGAACCCGCTCTGCCGTCACACTTGGATTCAGGGTTTCCAAACTACAAGCCGTATATTTTCCGCGTACGGAAAACCACTCATTTCTCTACGGTAATAAAGGTGAACCATAGAGGGTTCATAAAATGTAGCAAGGAATTCGATCCATATTGTTAACTTTACAAGCCACACTGCTAAATGCAGAGATATGACGATTTATGAACGGCCATTTCACGGTATTAAAAAATCTCACAATTGGGAACTTGGGCTTGTAGTTTGGAAACCCTGAATCCAAATGTAACGGTAGAGCGGGTTCAAAAGTATTCGGGAATCGAAAACGTTTTTGAAAACCGAATTTTGCCCTTCGTTTGAGTATAAGATTGGAAGATGTCATTGTCTACCGAATGAGTAAAACAATGAATATTTTTGTGCATGTTTTCCATGAATTTTTAAAGGCATTGAAAATCAGTGAAACGCGTTTCGGAATTTCGGTTGACATTTTATGAGTTAGCCCACCCACGGTACGCATATCTTTTGTCTGAAGCAATTTATGTAGCTCTACGAAATCCCATAATGGTGATATGTCACACTGAATACCTTGAGGTAGTTTTAATGAACCTGAGAGTACTAGACTATACGAATTCCTGAGTCTCTTAAAGGTAGTCGCAATTGAAAATTTTTAAAGGCCAGAATAATTTTTTCCTTCAGGTAGGAAATTTTGAAAGGGTGCAATCTTCTATGCAAATGAAAATCATTGTCCTCCTTTATAAGTGTGACCAAATTGATAGCCTTTCCGACATTGATAACAAAATACGATCAAATCAGTTAGTAATTTGTTTCTAGATTGATTCGCTCAACGACCAGCACATTGTCATGTGGCAATTTATTTGGAGGTAGGTTGACTGCTAATCAGTTTCGTCGTTTCGCGTTTTCTTATTAATAAGCATAACAAAAGAACAGGGTTGATAATTCCTGACTACTTGGTGCATACTGTAGTTCATATTCTTGATGTTTGAGTAGAAATTGAAGTTTTAGATCCCCCTTTTAGTTGTTTCTCCATCTACATTGTTCAAGAAGCGTTTGAAAGCAGGCATTGATGCTAAACTTTTTTATGGGGGGATGCGGCATCATGTTTTAACCATTTGCATGGATGATTTTCTCATCCGCTTGAACAGATTCTACCGTTGAGCTGTGATTTTCAGTTTTTAATTGATTACACTCTCCCCAGCAAATCACGAAAGCAAAAAAATGCCGGTCACAGTCAATACAGACCGACACCGTAGACAGTTACTGGCATCGGCCGACAGCGCCGTTGAGGTCAAATGACCAGCAGAAATGTACCTGCATTTCAGCCAAATTCTACTCTTATTGCTGCTTTCTCGCTTCGCGCTACGTGCATCGTAAGACAACAGTTTCTGAGAGGCAAAGGCACTGTTGTGCGGAAGATGGTTTTTTCCTCCTTTCCGAAACGAACAGTAAAGTTGCCTGTTTGACATTACTTCGGCGCAGTACGCATCTAGCAAAAACATGCGTTTGTTTTGAGCGGAAACAGGGATTTTATATATATATATATATATATATATATATATATATATATGGGTGTCCGCTCCTGAGTCTTTTGAAAGAGGCAAGCAAACTGCGGTCATAATAGATGCAGAAAAGGAGCTGACACCTGTTTGACAACCGGCTTTCCAGTCTCATTGGAGGCTGACATTCATGGCATTGCGCACATAAGTCAGGGTCTGGGGGTTCGTCGGCTACCGGTTTAGTTAGGCGATAAACATTGGAAGGCCTCCAATCACACGCACCACTTATCAGCGTCCGGCAAGCTGGTTGGTCGGGTGAAACCAACACTTAGCGGTTGGCGCGCGTGCGTCCAACGCACAGGTCAAATTCTTGAAAGCGCCTATGCACCACTTAATCGATTTTGTAACGCAGACGACGACGGCGGTACGATCGTCGCAAGCGACTATGTCCACCGGGTGCCCGACGAGGTGGGGGTGCAGCCCCGGTGACTGGCATCTGAATTAGCTCGTGGTGAGGTAGACTTACGATGCATCTACCACACTCTCTCCTCCCCTCACCCGCCCTGCTTCAATGGCAGGACAATGGCGAGACGACCGGAAGCCGGTGGGGTCGCCAGCAAGCTGGCATTCGGACTTAGACTGCAGGCTGGCTACTACGTGTTCGGTCTGTATATAAAAACCTCCACTTTGTTCATTTCCTCTGGTTTCGGTCACCTCATTGGAGCATGGATTGGCTGTGAACAGCCACAGCATACTGTCCATTCTGGCGCTGCAAATCAAAGTGGAAGTTTCACGCAAAAATCCTTTTTCACAGCGCAGACTAAGGCCCTAGCGGTTAGTGAGGCTTAGGTCTTGGTCTGCAGTTTAAGGGACGGCGGTGGGTTTATCAGTCTAGATGGGGAAACACTTCGAACCGCGGAAGAAGGAACCCTCTTGTGATATGTGATGGTCTTAAAAGGACGGTTGTTTTAGTTTAGTCAAAATCGTAACCCGAATTAGCACTGTTCGTTTATTGCGACTTTTGGTCATTTAAACTAACCGTAAATGGCCATGTTCGACTTAAATTTCCAGTAATTTCCGCCCTAATTAACCGAACACGTTGGCCAAACAGTTGAACCCGGAGTTTTACCGAGTGGACGGATCAATTACATGGATCACTATTGAGAAAGTAAAGAATCAAAAGAGCACGCAAAATGCTGACATGACTCTCCTGGCTACTTCCTAACTGAGTAGCGCATCCTCTTGAAGGTTTTGCTAGCCCAACGTGCACGTCTTGACGGGATGCCTTGCAGCATTTGAAATCTACTAAATGATATCGATTGGACCTTCCTTTGTGTAGGCAGGGGTATAGGGCTAATGTGCACAAGGCTCTGTGAGTTGTGAATCAGTTTATAATAAGGTAGACTTGCAAAGCACCAACCGCACACTCCTCTACCTCAACCACATTATTCTGATGTTAAAAAAGTGTTCAGATTGCCAGAGAAGGGCGCACGTGTGGCGTCTGACAAACGCAAATGACGTAGTCTCCACTGCACGTGTTTTGGCAGAGGCTGAGATCTCACATTAATTAGGGTGCCATAAAGGTTACACTACGAAGGAGCCATTGCAGCCTGACTCTCAGTCCCGAGGAAATCAGAATTATCTCGTCCAATGACAGGCTTCTATTCACGACGTTTATAGCGTCATGATAGGCTTTAAAGTGCCAGATTAACTACTGTGATGAATATATTGATATACAGCGATGGATTTGCCATTATTGGCCTCTACCCCGTTTTCCTCTCTAACGCACTATTCGACTGTCCTAAACGGTGACGGTGATGGGAACGGGGGCCGTGGCTAACGTGGCGCGATGACTTTTTCCACACATGCATGCACGTAGTAGTTGTGGGTTTGCGTGAAAGCGGCGCAATCCGACAAACGCGTTAAGGGAGCCAATCTTACTGTCGTTATTGTTTCAGCGCATCTGCAGCGTAGCTTATTGTGGGACCGCCGATCTTACTACTCTACGCTTTGAAGGAGACGCGATAGATGGGACAAGAGCTGGCGTTTCGGATTCCTGCCCGAACCCATCATCAGAAACAGAAGCAGATACGGATGGTTCATGCACAGGGGGCTGCAGTATTTATAGGATGCAGTCGCCATGCTATCGCATACCTATTTATATTCACGGCTCCTCCCTTCATCAGGGATCGTTGCACTTGGTTAGCTGATTGTTTGATGGTCAACATTCGCGTCGTTAATTGCTGCAATTTCAGCACGTGCGTTGGCTGTTGGTGTGATGATTGGGAAAAGTGTTCACCCGTGCACTTCCCGCGTGGCCAATTACTCCGCCTAGGCGAAGTCTCAGCACTGAGTATGGAAGGGGGAGGTCGTTGCACTAGTTAATGGACTGGGGGGCCAGTAAACCATGATTCAAACAGCTCCCGGTTCACGTGGTTGTCACCTCTTGCGAGAATTTCGGCCTTGACGAATTTGAATGTGTGGCCGGATCTCGTCGGTAGATCAGATGGTCAAGCAATCATCACACCAACATCCAATGCACGTGATGAAATTGCAGCAATTAACGAATGTCGGCCATCAAACAATCAGTTAACCAAGTGCAACGATCCCTGATGAAGGGGGGAGCCGTGAATATTCAAAGTATGCGATAGCATGGCGACTGCATCCTATAAATACTGCAGCCCCTTGTGCATGAACCACCCGTATCTGCTTTTGTCTTTGATTATGGGTTCGAGCAGGAATCCGAAACGTCAGGCTAATAAAGCTCTTGTCCCAGCGATCGTGTCTCCTTCAAGACTGCTTCCTGGGACTCGTCTCTTCGCTTCTATTGGCACTCAACGCTTTGATAACATATTGCCCCACACTTAGTGACAAGGGGCTTGGGGGAGGACGTTAAGCGATCCTCTTCTGCGAGGGCACAGCAATTGAGACGCCTTTGTAGAACGTCAGCAAGCAGTCTCGTATTTGAAAACAATTGCTGCCGCAATCTTCCAGTCGTAGCCATTTAGAACCCAATCTTGAACTTGAGACAACTGCTTTAAGGGGGGGGGAAGAAGCATGATCTATCGCCTCTGACTACTGTTGATGTCCCTCCGGCAAGAGCAGGAATAATTATAACTTCTTTTCTACCCGTTCGAACCATGGGTCAGCAACCTGCCAACGGAAAATCGGAAGCCTCAAGGATGACAAGGATCATTTACTGATTTTGATGACTACTATTGCTTTAAAAGACTGCACTGATTGCAGAACTGGTCGAACAGCAGTTTACAGGCTGGCACAAGTGCTTTTCTCTACTGATATCGACTTCAGCGCAGTAAGGACATAACGGTCAAGGTTACCTAGCCAACCGCAAATGATATAGTTAATATGCATAAACATCTTCCCACTGCTCTTGAAACGCAGGCACTGGATCACGTCAGGTTGACCTTTACGAACAGTGATGATCAGTAAGGTGTCACGAAAGAGTTAAGAAGACCGGAGGCTGGATCGGACGCAGTGAGTGACAAAGCTAAGGAAGCGGTCTGCGCGTGCCACAAACACGCCTGATCCGCGCACGATGGGCCAAATTTCCCCCAGATGGGCGGGAGTGTCACAAATGCCACAATAAAAAGGGACCATTGAAGCCGCTGAGAGGAGCACCGAGTTATTCCGTCAGTTGGAAGTCTCCCAAACCCGACGTAGACACGTGTTTTGTCGATTCTCTGTCCTTATACAGGTGACAGGGTTTCGGCTCATCAATAATTCCCTTAGATGAAATCATACACTATCAGAAAAAACGAGAGTACATGTCAGAAACTATGCGTAAAGACTGTGGAATCTACTAATGGTTGAGTATTGCAGCAGCGGGAAATCTACCATACACATATCTGGACTTTCAGCTAGTACCGGAAAACCGCGAAAGGATTTTGAATGCACGCTATATATACATATATAGATATGCAGAATGATATTACCGACAAAGACAAGGGAGACTGGAATGGCCATTTCTGGCTTATTAGCCGTCGTCAGCCAGCCATACCCAAGCCCGAAGTGTGGAACACCCGAGCCTCGAACTCGCGACCTGTTGGTTTAGAAGTCAACGCCTCTACTCACCGGGCCACGAGTCCGTTGCCCTGTCGGTTTTCGATCGGGAATATACAATGTTAGGGGGCGCTCACCGATCGTTCATACGGAACTCACTCGTTCCGTTGTGCCTTAAGGGCTCTCTCTCGAGCCCAACCAGCAGCCGCACAGCGGCGCATGATATACAGGCAGAATGATATTACCGACAAAGACAAGGGAGACTGGAATGGCCATTTCTGGTTTATTAGCCGCTGTGCGGCTGCTGGTTGGGCTCGAGAGAGAGTCCATAAGGCACAACGGAACGAGTGAGTTCCGTATGAACGATCGGTGAGCGCCCCCTAACATTATATATAGATATATATATATCAGTGGTACCGTAGCTGACCTATAAGAACATTGAGTCCCTTAGAGTAGGCCATGCGGGTAAACCCTGAACATCCTCTTCCCTCGGCAGCTGAGTGCGTCACGAGCTCAGTGAGCTGAAATGCATCAAAACACGTTTTTGGTAAAAAAATTATCTGTCAACAAAAATGCTACTATATGAAAAGTTAGTGTATCTGCCTCAAAGCGATGTAGCAAGGTGCTTCAAGGTACACTTTTAAAGTCTCTGCTCTGCTCAAACCGAGGTTGGATTAGGGTTGGCTGATAACGAGAAAAAGTCCAGAATGACCAGTACAAACCCATCGTATTTTCAGGTACTACTTCACTATTGGCTACTCGCAGATATGCGACCGCGCAAGAGGATCTTAGACCCTGAGCTCGAGGCAAACGGAACGCCCCTATTCAGTCTCACTATCAAGCCAGATTGATGCGCGTAATTTCTGTGTGATCTTCAGACACAAGTTCCAGGTTGTGCGGTTTTAAAAACTGTAGATAATACGTATTAATAAGTGAAGACTTGAGTCTGTAATTTAATTGCGGGTTATCTGGGTTAGAAGGGAGTCGTAAATGTCCGCACTGTCGAATCGATTAATTCAGCCCCCCGCAACAACCATTCAGCAAGGGAACATAAGTTGACCCAAGACAAACAGGGGTTAATACTTAACCCGCATATACTTGCATGACACGCGAATCAAATTAGCTCCGCAGCTTCGGACGGCAAGAGAGCTAGCATCTTCGACAGCTCGACCGTCGATTTCGACGATGCCTACCGTGTGCCACACATCAAGGTGCGGCAGGCACGGCGACTTGCGCGTGCACTAGTTTACAGTGATAGTAAACTTGCGCAGCATCTACCGCACTCTCTCTTCCCCTCTGCCCACCTGGACCAAGTGTCAAGACAGAGTCAAGACCACCGGAGGCGGGAGAGGGCGCAGGTGCGTGGCTTTCACCGATCTAGTTCGGAAGCAGGAAGGAACACCGGAGTTTTCGTTTGCCATGAAACTCCGGATACAGGCCTCGCAGGTCTTCGCATAGTGTCAATGAATCATTAATCGAGAGAATGACCGACGAAGATTGGTGGACTGATATTGCTTCTGCAATGGGATTATGAGGGCTGTCTTCCACCGGCCACAACTCTGGTCACAAACGTACGTATTAACGTTCCAAGGGTGAGCCCTATCTGACGGGACATAAACACCATCGGTGGGGGGGTAGTTTATTCGTGCCCGGCAGCCTGTACAGTAGGAATCCATGCTCGCGGCACATCAGCATATTTCTCTAACGTGACAAGAGCCGTGGCTTGGAGGGACGCGAACCGACGAGATAACACTGTTCTTATCGGGACTGACGGCAGAATCGCAATGCCACTTTCTTCATGTGGTCTTTATGGGACCGTCATCCAATTGAGATAGCATTCGGCCCCACGGAATTATGGCGCATGTGCATTTAGAACCAGTACTTGAGTGGCACGCTTAGATGAGCTGTTCAGCTAGCAATCCACTGTGTCTGCGCTCACCTTCGATCATCCTTACTCTGTCTTGTCAATGGAGCAGGGTGGGTGAGAGGGGAGAGAGTGCGGTTGATGCTTCGCAAGTCCGTCTCACTGTAAAATGACTTGCTTGCCAGTCACCGGTACTGCACCCACCCCCTGGGGTACATGGTGGATGCCAGTGGTTGTAACGGTCCGGCTGTCGAATTAGGAGCAGCATCATCTGACCTTACTATTGAAGTCTGCTGGCGCGTCGACTTAGACTTTAGTGATCCAGTCTTATCGATAACGAATACTCTTTTTTGTTTTTGTATCAAAACCCAGGGTTCTGGGTTTTCATCAGCTGCATAAGTGACTCCCCACTCGCCGCTAATCACGTCTACCCCTGTCCTGCCTGTGTGAGTCGTTGAAGCCGACAAAAAGACGATGGCCCGTTACTGCGTTGTTCGCCACAGGCAGACTGTGCGATAGTACTATCTATCCTTCTATAAAAACATGATGTGTCGTGCGAAAGGCCGGACCGTGAGTGGCACGCGTAGGTGGGTTGCTTAGCTCGGTCGGCAACTTCCCTGAATCAGATGGCTGACCGTCTGGACATCAGAGGGGTGCTTGTAAAAGTGACCAGGGAGTGAAGTTGACTCTGTGCATTTCATCACAACAAACAACCTGGCGTGTGACGGTTCGGTTGTGGCATTAGGATCGGTAGGAAAGGAAAAAATAGCCGTACGCTCTTTTAGGGTGTAGAGGGGGTACTTAGGTCGCGGTGGGATGAGCGAACGCCGATTTGGTTGGCCTTGATAGGCAAGCTTCTTGCAAATAGGGCAATAATTAACACAAATGTGTGAGACCTATAAGTTGGCGAGACGATGAAACGGGAGACTGAAACAGCTGCTATTTTCGGAATATTCATGTCCAAATTCCGTCCCGCTTTTGTCGTTTCGGCTGCGGGTTTTGGCAAAAAACAGCATCTGGTCCAGTTTCCCACCCTTTATCACTTTTTGTTTAGTGGATACGCAGCCTGATGGATGTTCCTGATCCTCCTCTGCTCCGGACAGCCAAGTGGATCGGTATCCGCCCTTTTCTATTAGTAAATATAGTGAGTGACCTATCTCATGAAAAGTTAGCCGGAATTTTAAAATGGGTTTTAGATTAGGAAGGATTACTTGGGTAGGGTTGTAATATTAATTGTCACTTTCTAGGATGTTGGCCTTTGAATGTACTTCGTTCCGACCTCTGGTAAAAACTACCCTCTTCAAAAAATGACTACGCAAATAGTATGCATTTTTTGCACCGATTTTCGATGGCCTCATAAATTCAAATATATTTTCTAGAAAATATGCAGAAAAGTATGCTTTTTTACTCATCTAGTGGCAAATCATATTTTTTCACACTTTATACTCAATAAGGGCGTATTCGGTTTTGGAAAGTTTTCCGATTCTCGAATGACTTTGAGCCAGATTAGCCGCTACGCAAGCATTCAGTATATAAGATGTATACCTTCTGCGTAATATATTACTCTACGCCTTTGAATAGACACCATACAAAGTCCATAAAATTTTTCAATGGATGCTGACTATGTTGTATACTTAATGAGAAGCATCGATAAGCGTGCAGGTACGATGCTGTATGAATTGACATTACACGGTCTTAAAAATTTCATAATCGGGAGCTTTTTAAAACCAAAAGGCACTCTTTTTTCAAAAATAAAATGTGGAGAGGACGTGGTTTGTTACCAAATAAGTAAAAAGGGATATTTCTCCGCGGTATGGTTATTGAATTTCATATATGAACTTTCCTTAAATCTGCACGCCGTCATGACCGAATAATCTCAGGGAACTCCATTTACAAGATTTTAAACGATACAGGAACCGATTATAACTATAAAAGTTTGATAGGAAGATTTTAATGGAACACTGCGCGTTTCAAAGTAATCAAAACGCTAGATGTGTATGAGCCAAGCTCACATCAAATTTTAGGTTGAACCGAGAAAATAACTTCAGTTATATTTTCCATCCGGGAAAGATTGGAGATCCTTTTCTTATAACTGTTCCTGAACGCTCTACGTGGCATAAAGAACTATAAAAGCCTGACAGTTAAGTAATGCTTACTTTCCAAAAACCATTTTTAGGAGTCCAGATAGGTGGATTAGAAAACTAGGCCCAAAAATTTTGAAAGCGTCAATCCTCCAGTTACTTTCTTTTTGAACTATGAAAACGATTAGTTTGACGAAATACCAAATGGGCAGACTTGGGGCGCTCACTGGTAAACTGGCCTCTCCCCACGATCGACAAGATGACTATGAGAATTAAGCCTTGTCATTGTGATGTTTTTAAACCGGTTAAGTTTGCTTTAAATCCAAAAGCAGTAACAATTCTCAGTCCTTCTTAGTGATTTATCTACGCTCAAATTTCCCCACTGCAGGTAGGTTTTCTTACCTCCTCACCGTTTCTCACATCAAAGACACGCGTTCGTGTGGAGTCGCAGCAAACCCACAATTGGGACGATCTTTGGACAAAAACGAGGTCTGAAATTTGAAAAAATAAAAGCAAAATTCCGTCTGGGCTTCTCGTGGTATCTAGGCATTTAAGTGAACTAAACCACAAAGTCGTATCTCCGTATTATTTGCGAACTCACCTTGTTGCCAATTAGATAAACTTTTGCCTGATTACTGCTCTTTCCTCCAGATTGCCTCATTAGGGGTCAGCATTTTGACGGGCGGAATGTGGATGCATATATATATATATATACTTATGATAGTGGGCGCTCACCGATCAGGTTACGGAACATGCTCGTTCCGTTGTGGAAAGGTATTACCTTTCCAACATATATCACTAGTCGCTGTGCGACTGCCTGCGAGGGTTTAAGTATGAGCCCCAAGGCACAGCGGAACGAGCATGTTCCGTAACCTGATCGGTGAGCGCCCACTATCATAATTAATATTCCCGATCACAACCGACAGGACAACGGGCCCGTGGCTCAATGGTAGAGCGTTCAACTCCATGACCAAAGATCCCGGGTTCGAATCTCAAGTGATCCACACTTGGGGTTGGGTATGACTGGCTGATGACGGCTAATAAGCCAGAAATGGCCATTACGGTCTCCCTTGTCTTTGTCGGTATTACCTTTCCATATATATATACATATATTAAAGGTATTATACCGTACTCCCGACGTAGATACTTGCTAAAAGCCCAGACACGTGTTTCGCCGATATTCTGCCGCTGCGTGACACAGCTGCGAGGGGTTCGGCTCTTCAGTGGGACCCCCAGCGTTCTCTAGCGGTTTCAGGTATATGAACTCCAGAGAATAATCAAGCGAATAATTTCAGAAATTAATCAGTGCAGGACTTGGAGTTAAATCTCCGGGACATGACTTTTTAGGGTCAGAACCGAAATTTCAATGAACATTTGAGTCGAAGACAATCAACTACTGTGAAATAACCACGTAATGCCCATTCTACAAACAAGTAGTACTACGAGTAGTATGAAATCCATATAGTAAAGGTAGTATACCGTACTCCCGACGTAGATACTTGCTAAAAGCCCAGACACGTGTTTCGCCGATATTCTGCCGCTGCGTGACGCACTGAATAATTTCTGAAATTATTCGCTTGATTATTCTCTGGAGTTCATATACCGGAAACCGCTAGAGAACGCTGGGGGTCCCACTGAAGAGCCGAACCCCTCGCAGCTGCGTCACGCAGCGGCAGAATATTGGCGAAACCCGTGTCTGGGCTTTTAGCAAGAATCTACGTCGGGAGTACGTCGTTGCCTTATTTTCTTCCATACCACACGATTTGGCAATTGACTGCGTAGCCCAACGCTTACAGGAGAATCCTATTGAGATTCCAACTCAGCATATTATAGAACTGCCCAAACTCTGCCTTAGAAACTACTGTCAATTCGATAATAAGTTCTACCAACAGGTAAAGGGAACCCCAATGGGCTCGCCAATATCTGGACTGCTCGCAGAACTTGCATTGCAGAGACTAGAAAAGGAGGTTTTCCAAGATTTCAGCCCCAAAGTGTGGCTTCGCTATGTAGACGATACCTTTGTCGTGATAAAGAACTGCGAAGTTGAACGGCTGCATCAGAGGCTGAATGACGTCTTCCCGGCCATACAGTTTACTCGTGAAGAGGCAATAGGCGACAGCCTGCCGTTTCTTGATGTGAAAATACAAAGGCTGAACGATGGTAGTCTCGCGACGAGCGTCCATAGGAAAGGATCTAATTCCGAAATTATCCTCAATTATGGAAGCAACCACCCCGCAGCTCACAAAAGGAGCTGCGTTCGAACTCTGTTCCACCGGGCCTATCGTTATTGCAACAGCGACGATCTCCTTAAGAAAGAGCTTGCCTACTTGTATCGGTTGTTTCGATCCAACGGATATCCGACAAGTTTCGTAAAGAACTGCCTCAGACACCAGGCACAACGGCAGGCTCCCACCCTCAACGGAGAAGCTGTGTCTCGACTATTCTTCTCCCTGCCTTATATGCAAGGAGCGTCCGAAGTAATCGCCCGGCAGTTAAATCGCTCTGGTATTCGCATCGCCCACAAACCAGCATCCTCACTACGCGCGGCGCTATCTCGAATCAAGGATCCCCTCCCCAAAGAGCAACAAACAAACGTAATTTATCGCATCCCGTGCTCAAATTGCTCTTGCGTGTATGTTGGTCATACAGGTCGAAGCCTGGGCACCCGTATTAATGAACACAAACTGGCTGTCCGTCGGCGAGACCCTCTGTCCCTCGTCTTTGCTCACGCACTCGAGTGCGGCCACCGATTCAATTAGGATGGCACTGAGGTCGTCGCCATGGCTAACACAAAACGGGCGAGAGAATTTCTCGAGGCTTGGTACTCCGATGCTGGTAGTATCAACCGCCATGTTGACCTGGACGCCCATTATGAGGGCCTACGCTCACGACTTACTGCCTCCCGCCCTAATGCCACAGCAACGGCCGCCAGTTTAGCCACCCGGAGTCCAATTGATCCACCATTACACCCTCCCCCTCCAGCACAGGCATCCATAATTGTTCCACCTCCCCCCTCGCTCAGAGACCTACCATGACTTTGTGATCATCCCTCTCATAGGCCGATAGTCTGTCTGCCCTGTCGCGCTAATTAGTCCAGTGTGACAAACAAACTTTCTCCCCTGTTTTCATTTCGTCTGACGACGGGTTGGTGTCACCAGCTCGAAAATTCACGAGTACAACTCGATTTTTCCGATGAACCTCTTCCTGTTTTCATATATATATATATATATATATATATATATATATATAGCAGCGAGGAGGGACGACAGAGAATGCGGGTAGATTGATACAGCACTGTTTCGGGCTTATTCTGCCTTCATTCAGCCAATCATAACCCTGACCACCAGCAGCTGAGACCAGAAACACAAACATGCGCACAGACGCACCTGGCGCAGTCGGTCCACCACTGAGGCCTACCAGATGGGTCATAAGCACTTCATCGAACCGAAGTTCATCAGTGCCTCGCCACCTGTCATTCTCTGTCGCTGCAGATCGGGTATTTATCAATCAGGAATGGGCGCACACCGATCAATTGGCTTCACAAAGCAAACAAGCTCCGTATGTGTGGCAAAGGTCACGAACAGGCAACCAATTACCAGGCCGAAGTCGGCCAAGTCTACCTGTTCGTGACCCCTATCGCCCATACGAAGCTTGTTTGCTTCGGGAAGCCAATGGATCGGTGTGCGCCCATTCCTGAGTGAATAAATACCCGATCTGCAGCGACAGAGAATGGCAGGTGGCGAGGCACTGATGAACTTCGGTTCGATGAAGTGCTTATGACCCATCTGGTAGACCCCAGTGGTGGACCAGCTGCGCCAGGTGCGTCTGAGCGCATGTTTGTGTTTCCGGTACCAGCTGCTGGTGGTCAGGGTTATGATTGGCTGAATGAAGGCAAACAAGCCCGAAACAGTGCTGTATCAATCTACCCCCAGACTCTGTCGTCTCCCCCCTCTGCTTTCATAGCTTGGCCGACTTCGGCCTGGTAGGTGGTTGCCTGTTCGTGACCCCTATCGCCCATACGAAGCTTGTTTGCTTCGGGAAGCCAATGGATCGGTGTGCGCCCATTCCTGAGTGAATATATACATATATATATATATATATATATACACTTCCCCAATGCTTTGACGCCGCAGAGTGCCTACTTATTTTTCTTAAGTATGTGCTTAGGAGCTGTTGCGTATAAAGTGCGTCAATCTGTCTTCCAGTCAGACTTCAATAGACATTTACTGCCAATCTACGCGGCCCGCCGTTACACGAATTGCACCAGACCCAGTATTCATACAAAATTAACAACTGTCTAACTTCAGCGAGGATAACCATTTGAACATTTAGGAAGCCAAGTCTGCAAAACGTACGCTTCCGATTATTCATCATTAGGCCTGTACAGTAATATGAGGTAGGCCAGAGTAGTTAATAAAAGGCAAGTATGGAGGAGAGGGTTGAGTACGCTCAAAGGTCAGGGGTCAGAATGTAGTTCTGCCAGGGGCTTAGAAAGGGAGAGGGATCAAGGTGCCCGACAATTACAGTAGGTGGGCTAACTCATGAAATGTCAACCGAAATTCCGAAATGCGTTTTCGTTTCGAAAAGATTAATTAAATGGTGTTGTAAAACTAGTGCGCCTGCAAAATAATTCTAAAATACTTCAGTTACCTCAGGATGCGGGCTTTCGAATGAACTTCCTTCCGGCTGCATGCAAAAAGTACACTCTGCAAAAAATGAATACTAAAGTAGCATGAATTTTTCTCACGGATTTTCGATGCTCCTAAGGATCCAATTATGTTTCATGGAAAACATGCATAAAAATATTAATTCTTTTGCTCATTCGATAGAAATCACGTCTTCTAATTCCTGGATAATTCTGAACCCGACCTGCCGCTATACTTGCAGTCAGTGTTTCCAGACTACACGCTGTATATTTTCCGCGTACGGAAAGCCACACATTTCTCTACGGTTATAAAGGGGGACCATACAGGGTCCATAAAATATGGCAAGGAATTTGATCCATATTGTTAACTTTACAAGCCACATTGGTAAAGGCAGAGATATGACGATTTATGAAAGGCCATTTCACGGTTTTTAAAAGTCCCACGATAAGAAGCTTTTTAAAAACCAAATTACGTTCCTCCTTCGAGTATAAAATTAGAAGACGTAATTTTCTACCGAATGAGCAAAAGAATGAATATTTTTATGCACGTTTTCCATGAAATATAATTGGACATTTAGGGGTATCGAAAATCAATGAGAAAAATTCGTGCTTCACAAGCAGTCATTTTTTACAGAGTGTAATTTTTGCATGCAGCCGGATGGAAGTTCATTCGGAAATCGGCATCCTGGGGTAACTGAAGTATTATAGAATTACTTTGGAGGCTGACTAGTATTTTTGAAACAAAAACGCATTTCGGAATTTCGGTCGACATTTTATGAGTTTTCTCACCTACTGCCTTTGTTTCGTCGTTGAAACGCTACGTGACAAGAGGTGTGACTACATGCTAGGTTCGTTTTTGGCCAGCGTATGTTTGCCGGACTCGACGTTTTACGACTTTTTGCAGGCACATTATTCTGCTGGAAAAAATATACGGTAGGACAGCAAAAGCTTTCAAGTAAGATTGTAGGATTGTATGACATACCAGAATACCTGCACATTCGTTTTCATCAAGTGCTAAATAAGTTACAGGTGATCCAGAGTCAATGTGCTGGGCCGGGAGGGAGGGGTGGGGAGCGGTGCAAATATGTATACCTAATCTTTTTACGAGTATCAGCAAATCTCCCACAACGAGTCATTCATTTCTAATGAGCAGTAAAAAATAACCTGACTTACGATGAACTTTCATAAGGGAAAATGCAGACAGTCTCGAGGGAGAAATGGTAGAATGGGGAAAACGTGTGCACCGTTTGGGAGTGTAAAGATCTCACAAAAATTTGCTTCTTTCTGAGATGGTAACGGTATCACAATTCCTAGAATTTGCAGGATTTACTTCATGAAAACTTCACTGAATCTGCCACGGTGATTATGGAAACTTACTGGACAAAATCGACTTTGCTGACACCGGTGTCTCGGAATAGTTCTCTTGTTACCGCAAGTCTATAACTCACTTATTGGTGCGACAACTGGTAACTGTTAATAGGAATTGGTACTCGGAGCCCGAATATAAAAGCGAGGAATCTTCGAGGGAGCAATAGTGACAATAGTCGTATGCGTCTCTATACCTTTTTTGGGTTCAGGAACACTGTTGATCCGGTAGAAGAGGGAGAAGTCGCCGTTCCAGATTTTGATGTAACTGTCGAATCCTCCGGTAGCCAGGAGACAGGTATCTTTGTCCACTTTAATGCCAGCCAGGCAGTTTATTGCTGCCTGATGAGCTCTGCGTTTCACTCTGATAACAAGCAACTCATTATCAATGACACCCGAAGCATCGTAGGCCACAAGTCGACGATCGTACCTAGTGAGATGCGTGAAGGAAGGAGGGGAGAGTTTCTGAAGCAAAAAGCTTTTTGGGTTGGACGCCGGAATAGGCACCCCCTGAGTTCACAGAGAGGGCCGCCCCAATTACAGAGGGGTAAAGTTAGTGCTAGAGTTAGAACAGGGGGATGAGTGCCTCCTGGGATTCAGGGATAAGTCACCTGTCTTTAAAGGGGGAGGGAGAGTAACTATTCCTGTGTCCTACCTCTTTAGGTCTTTTTTCTGAAATTATCCATAATTTTTGGGTTAGCGGGCAACAGCAGCGCAGGAAAAACAAATCAAAATAAGTTCTTTTAAAGGGGCACTATGTGACAGTGCAGTTACAGATTACATTTGTAAAAGGAGGTTTGGTGGGGTTCGCCGTCGAAGCAAGTAAACTAATTCGGCTCAAATGGTGTTTCCACTTATGAAGACACCTTCACTTCGTCCAGTGAACTTCCGATCTGAACGGGCGTAACACAAGGAGGAAGTCCGCCGGTCGAGGTCTATAAATTAGATGAACTCGCTCACAGACCCTAAAAGAATCTCCTGGGGGAATTTTTCAAGCATGTTGCATAAGTAAACATCAGGCAGGTAAGACTTTTTGAGCGAGTTATGGGAAATTCAAGCAAGTAGAGGAAACTTGAAAAAGGAAAAAAGGACCTATCCACAGGAAGCGCTAACTATCACATCGGCCGTGTTTACCGACAATGTCCACCGTGTGCTCCTCATCAGGGTTGGAGCAGAGACGGTGACTCGCGAATGGCTTCTTTTAAAATGACAGTAGACTTGCTCTGCAGCTACCGCACTCTCTCCCTTCCTCAACCTGTGCTTGAAGTCAAGACAGAGTCAAGAACACCGGAGGCGAGAGAGGGCGCAAGTGACTGACACGACGAAAACCAGCATCTAGGCGTATCACCACCACCCCTCCTAGTGCACAACATACACCGACGAGGATGTTATACACCGTGACAAAAGGGAGCGACTAGAATCCCAAATGGCACTATGTTAGCTTGCACCGGGTCATGCCACGGCTCCCCCAAATCGGAAAAGTCGAACCCACTGATGTCCGAAATGTGTGGAGCAGAATTTCAGACCGACCCAGTTACATGGTATTCAGCCGAAGCGCCTACAAAGTCCTGGGATCCGTGCACTGTTAGATACTGACTTAAGTGCCCCATCGATAAACGCAAGAAAACTTGTTATGTCGTCTCGGGGCAGATTGTTTGGGTTTCACGCAACGCCTGAACTATAACTGGACTTCACCCTCCCCCGACTGGAAGCACTTTTTCGAAGTATATGTAGATCCCAAAAGCAAAGTTAATATTGAATGCTCGCATAATATCCCATAATATACCCACTAATTGATCGGTGCGATGGTCCGCTGCGATGTCTGCACACCAACTCCCTTCCCAAATAGGTTATGTCTTTTCTCGAAGGTAGACCAACACAGACGACGAATACTTAAATAACAGCTGTTTTGAGCTGGTCAGTGTAAGCTTCAGACGGCCATAGGCCTACCAAAGCCTGCAAAAGCACGCCGACGCGATGCGCAAAGGATTGCACGGATGAGGTCGACCGGTCGGCAGTAAGTTTGAAATATAAACCCTCCGCCCGCTTGAGTAAGTAGGTAATTTGACACACCGATTAAGGGGCTTATCCCTATTATAGGCTTCTGAATTTACTTATCAGCCTTTCAACAGTATGCTCACCATATTCGTTCTCAGAAGTTGCAGCTATTTGTTTGCTGTTTGGCCATCTGTCTTGGAAATGATACATTTGAAGGGGCGCCCACAATTCTTATTTGTTTGGTAACAGTGCACGCCATGAAGACACAGAAAAAATGATGATATGGCACAATGCTTAATCATAACACAGACAGAGTTCTTAGCTTTGACCGCTCGGAATTAAGTGGGAAATGTACATTTTAGAAATGTGTCCGTAAATATTGGATGATATCATTGGGGGGTTGGTTCTTCTGGCACCGTTCTCGCAGTCATTATGGACGGAAAACAATCATAAGATTAGCGTGGCGCTGGGGACTGCTGCTTTCGTGGGCAGTCTGGGTATGGTTATGGTTCAGTCTAACTTAATCAGCCAACAGGGCCGTAAAGTCGGGAATCTACCAATACCTTACATGGGCCTGTCTTTTCCTGGATAGACGGGATGCTACCAGAATGGATCCATGCTGCTCTGGTTGGCGTTTCCGGCAATGCGACTGGCTCTGGCGACTTGTTCTCCAGAAACACATTCTATTCTTACGTAATGTATTACTGAAGTGAGAATAAGACAATTGGAACTGTCGTGTGGTTCCCTATGCAAAAGGCTAAAAGGAAAGAAGAGCTATCGGAGCGCGGTCCGTTCCCCTCAAAGCCTGCTTGAATCCCACTCATTAAGTGAAGACGAAAATCTAACAGTTCTTGGACATTTTTACATACCCCGCAGTGTAAAGTCGCTGTTGTAGTAGAAGCAGGCATTTCACAATGCCTTTGTGACTGTCGAGTTCCTTATAGTCCCAGAGACTGAGAAGATGTCCAGCGACTTTGTCTGAAAGAAATGCCTAGTCAGATGCAGTTAAAGGGTACCAGGGTCTGTTCCGATCACAGACAGACCGTCCGCAGTTCCCATGACACATTTCTGAATACGGTCCAAAAATTCAATCGAAAATATGGACTGGTCGATCTGTCGGGGGAGAGGGGGAGTAAGAGATAATAAAACTTACGTTGATGCCGTCGATGGCGGTGCCATTTAACCAGAAACTTATCAGCCCCTTTTGCGTAGTCAGTACAAATACCTGGGTCCTCTTCCTTGAAGATTAAATTATAAAATCGATAAAGACCCACCAAAAGTTTATACATGTAATCTCGGCTGACTGGGGGAGCCGCTTATTTGTGCTCTTTGAGTGTTTGAGGTCCCAGAACGACAACGATCCATCTAACCAATAAAGAAAGTGTGTTTTTTCATGATGCAAAGTCGGCTGTGATGTCGTTTTGCAGTAGCGTTAATTTTAAAATCAGTCTTTTCTCTTCTCCATGTCTGTAAATGATATTTTTGCTGCAGGTCAAACACGGAAAATGCTTCCGTCCAGTCTGGTTTTGGTCTAGTGCCTATATAAGCAGAGCAATTAGATTTTGTGCTTAATACCCAGAAATTGCAGTGTCCTGCAAATAATCCACAGTTAGCCATAAACGGTGTGTCTGCGTATAGCCTCAGGTGACAAGGCCATCCCACAGACGGAATTTAGTGTTTGCTTAAGGATGTCCCACCTCAGATAGTTTGGCCTCGTTATTTTTGCACGGTACCCAAAAGCAAACAAACAAGCCCGTTCAGTCGATTCGTATTCTAGGTTCATAGGAACAATTGGATGACTTAAATTACTCAGAGGCGACCACAAACTGACCTCATGAAAATGGGTAACATGTCAAATAACTCCCAGCTGTAGTTTCGATGGGTGCATTTTTTGCACGAGTTATCGACTTGCAAAACAGGTCGCCCGAAGAAATCCTCCTGTTACTTACACGCATCTCGACTGAAACTGCAATGGACTGCTGCACAATGCATTTTGCCAAAGAATGTCCGTTTATAATAGCATTCTGCCTAGTACAAGTTGTTTTCTAGATGACACTAATATAAGAACAAGATTTTTTGACAAATTGTTCGGCTATATTATGCGTTTTGTCGTTGTTCGTTTGTAATTCAGATCGCTCATTTTTTGTTCACTTTCTTCTCTTTTGTCAACTTTTCTATCTGACCATCATTCATTTGGCTTTTCTAGGCGATTTTGCTTTTTTGACGCTTGATCATTAATGTTGTTGCTTGTTGCTCTTTGTTTATTTTTGTTCGACTATCTAATGCTGGAAAGCAACGAGGTGCCTAGGGTGGCGATGACTGTGTCGACATACATAGTCATTAAAACTTGATCTAGGCTGAAGTAATGCAAAATCATTATCCCCAGCATGCTTGTCTACTATATATGAATAGCTACAACTCCAAAACTTCAAACAGGTACTTGTTTCCTAAATTAAAAGCTATCAGTGTACAATTTTAATTGCAATTCTAAGCAGCATAATCTAGTCATCTGGTATCTTTTCTATCGATCGGATCTTGACCTGCTAGACAGGTCAATCTTACTAACCTTGCAACACGCAACAGATGGTCGATCAAATTGGAGCTACTTTCATCTGCCTACCCAGGTTGCTGTCCCAGCTCCGTTTTTTACAATACCCAATTCACCTCCAATGTTCACAATAGTATTTAACTAAACGGTGATCGTTAGAAATCATATGATGATCAAATTCTAACAATCAAACTACAGCATTAATTTATTTGATCACCATTAGTTGAGGTCCCATACTTGCTTGAAAGCGCTAAACGTAAAAAACCTGCTGTTTTAATAGTCGACCGCCATTCACCAGACTTCGGAAACTTTGCATCATTGTCTTCTTCGGTTAGGACATCACTAGGCGAAATCGGGCTCTGACGAGTTGAACCCCGTGGAGGACGATTAATAAAACCCGAACTGAACATCCCGAAATATTTACGGAGAACTACGCTTAAGAAAGAGGCCTTTGTGTTTAAATAGAGACGGAGGATTCATGCACCAGAAAAAACTGCTCATGTGTATAAACGCATACACACATGGATTATCTGCTTCGCGTTTGCTCTCCGATTATGCAAATGTTTCCTAAACTTTGTGATATGCCACTGTCAGCTAACGCTGGTAACTTGCTTAGTTTGACCGATATGGTTGTTCATATCTTTTTGAGATGCCTGACAAAGCACTATGGGAAGTTGAAAAGACTTTTTGCTGAAAAGTGTAGTTTTGGAAGTGGCTACGTTTTTTAATATTATTTTTGGGGAAAATGGGGACTGTTTGACTAGCTAAACTGGAAAATAGTTTCGCCTTTGAACAATCCCCGGAGACAGAAAGACTGTTTTCGTGTCGTCAGAAATTAGTTTGTCGGTTGTGGTTACTTACATAGATGAGAAATTATCCATGAAAGAGCAAGTAGGAATGTTGGTACGAAACCAGTGTACTGATAGGTAAAACGCTTGCAAGCAACATACCATGCAGATTCAAAAACACAGAGAGCAAGAAACGCTTTTGCTGTATTTTCGCTCATTTTGGATTGAGGCGGCGCATGCGTAGGAGCTCAAAAACTTTATTCAAGCAATTTTGAGATCAGTAAGACTTAGTTTAATGGAGAACTTTCATGATCCTTAGATATGTTATTTACAAATCGAACAAGTCAAGGAGGAAAGAAGAGAAAGATGCCATCGATTGGCTGCGATGAGTCAGTGACGTCGTTTGTTGGAAAAATTAAGTGCACATCTGCATACAAGGGCTGACAAATATACGCCACCTTCGGTATGACATTGACCTCGTGTTACATTTCCAGGATGAACATAGGGCTGTCATTTTCCCTTTCTATCCTGCGAAATCGTTTTTACATCAGATTGCACGTATTAAGTTAACAAAGAGGTTTTTGGGAACTTGTAACGACATGGCTTAAGGGCTAGCAGTTTATGAATCGCAGATTCTCACCGTCTGTCTTTTTTGATATAATTGCAATTTTGTGGCTTTTACTAACAACACGTCTTATATTTAAATTACTTATTCAGGAATTTCGTAGCCCATGCAATTTGCTCCACCACAGTTGAATAATTTGGCCAGCTGCCTATTGTGAATACAAACTGCATTTTAGGAATTTGACGTTACTTATTTTGAGTGAACTATAATCCACTGGGCAACCTGATTAAAGTTCGGCCGTTAGCTTCACGTTCAGGCGAGGGCAAACGAGGGAACGCGTAGTGGTTAAAGGCTGTTTAACCCAGTCCGGATGGAATTTCAGCAGGTGGCTCGGTCCACTCCATGTACTTAAATTAGTACTTAACTATCGAGAGTTTATTTGTCTGCACGATCGTTCCAACAGTCCGATCCACGCCATATCATCCGCAAAAGTTGCAGCATTATTTCGGCAAATGGTCAACAATTTTTAGTCACTTGTGCTAATAATAAGAGGTCAGCTACCTCCCAGACCGGGCAATGCGTGGCCAGGACCACGGTTTTTTTTATTTAGTTCTAATATTACTTTTAAGACGAGAACATGTTATATCATGGACAAACTATATTAACGAAAAGTTAATCAAAAAATTAACTGAGTCGTGAGTGGAACTTATGTCCTCTAGAACAAGCTTTCTGAAAAAATGAAAAAAAAAATTACTTACCTGTGGAGCCTGAAACACACCAATTATCTATGGCAAATAAAGCTGAAACGGTACCATTGTGTGCTCCATTCAAAATCGAGCAAATCCGCATCTTAAAATGCCACACATATGAGGTCAACCAAAAACTTTGTTGGTGTGATAAAACAATCTGTGTTTAGGAAAGAAATAGTACATAATTAATAATAGAAATCTGATGCACTGCTGCCTTTTGTTTTGTCTTGCCTTCTGCTTTCTCCAGAGGTAAAACAGACACTCGTCATCGGTTTTAAAAATTGACCCAAATTTAAAAATCCTCCCTTGCATACAAAGTGCAATTTATGGCCAGAAATGTTAAGAAAGCCGGAGTTGGTGCAACTTTTCAGTACAACTTTAGGCGGTTTAAAATATATGTTTACTAGCTGAACCTCGTCTCGCGTTGCTGTGGCTCAGTCTGATGAAATGTAAGGAAAAGAGGAAGGGGACACGTATCTTATGTTTGGGAGCATAATGACTGTAGGTATGCGATATTTTTGTCGTTGCGTTGTCTGTGCGGACACAAATAATGCCTGGTTTGCCAAATCGGGAGCACGCAAAGTATAATTGGCTTTGTGAGAAGCAATCCGTTTGCAGATCCAAAACCGTACACTTCTAATTACTCTAGCGAAGCTTTGCTGATAGTAAATGCAGTATCCTAAAAGGAAGTGCAATGTCAGTTGGAATAAGAGGAATGCGGGGCTAAGGATATGCTCTCCTTTAAAAGGTCCTGTCAAGATATTGGCTCCCCCTTCCTTGTTCGTTAATGGTTTTACTGCCAGCCGCCTGCCGTTGGTAAGCCTCGGTTGGTTGATTTCTCGCATTATGATAACCGGCACACGGATTTTAAATTACAGTAACCGCAGCATCGCCCCTGGCAGATCAAGTGAATTCACTATTTCTGTGTGAGAATTGACTGCCTCGTCTGCTTCCTCAGCAGTTTCGACGGACGTGTATGGGAACGGCCCCGCTTTGAACCTTAGACTTAATAGTATGATTAAGTAAGTAGATTTCTTTGTCCTTGGCCACAAGAATGGCTCGTTCGCTCAGGCAATCGTGATTTGTATAATTGGTTTGAATATTGGGAAGTACCTTTGTAACCTAATCTTATTTTGACGGCACTAAATCGCCGGAGGCAGGAAGTAGTGAAATGCGTCCTGAAGTCAGATAAACCGACACCGTATGAGAATATCTCAGCTGTTCAGTCGTTTTGCAGCTGGATACGCATATCCGTAGTTGATTTTAACGTCTGAAGGTGGCGTTACAACGTAAAGTATTTCAGGCAAGCGATTATTTCGTCGGTTGGTGTCGACTGAGGTACTACAGGCCGTGTTTGCCCGAGTCTCCTGCAAACAGTAGCAAGTCGTCTCCAAATGGTCTGCAGTTTCCATGCAAACCTTGCAATGATCGGTCAAGGGCCTCGAGCGTTTTTGTGTGTCATTGTGCACTCACCCCAAACAATACGTTTGCACTTCTGCAGCAGTTTTCCCATGCCGGATGTCTTGGAA